TAAAATGATAATTTTATGTTGCCTAAATTGTTTTTCTATTAAAAAAATTGTTGTTTAGTTACTTTTAAAAAAATTATTCTTAATTTTTTTATTTTTGAACTTTACAGTCTTTAACTAAAATAAGTAATTTGCAATGACGAGATCCATTATAAAACATGGATTTTTTATTTATATACTTTTGTTTAGTAATCTATAGCAGTTTTAACAAAATTTTTACTTTAAATATTAACTGAGGTTATGTTCCAATTTCTAGAGTCATAGAAAGGAATTCAACTTTAATTTTTTCGGTACCTCTCTGGGGAAATAAATACAATGGACAAAAAAGGAATTCATAAGATTTGAAAAAATTTCAAAACTTTTTAATACAAGCCTTCTTACTAGGATATTCCCCACATGCGAACATTTCCCTAATTTTAGCAATATTTTAAGGACTTCGCATTGAAATATTTCAAATCTTTCAATATTTAGGAAACTCTGTTTTCTTTTTTGTGAGGATTTTTTCTTTAATATGCAGTTGAGAAATATAAAGAAAGTTGTAATATTAATCTTTTATTAATAACTCTGTAACGTTTGTAATTGTAAGAATCAATATTTTAGCTCGCCGAGCCAGGGTTCGTTTTGATTCCAACAAAAATAATAACAGGATAATTACGGGTTAATTACAAACTAAAACAAATTATTTATTTACAACGGTATTTACAGGTGAAAAATATACAGGCGTGTAGATAAATCGCGGATGTCGGTTTCACACAACGATTGTCGGCGTCAATCGCGATACGTTGAGCCGCGGAATCGAGAATCGGCATCAATCTTGTGACGTCGCTTACTTGAGCCGCGCATTAACGAAATCGGCTTCAACTCGCTGCGATGAGCCGTGAAATCTATTGCAATACTGCATAAGAATTCGCGATATTCTAGTGAACCACGAGTAAAACTCGTGTTCTAATTATACAAAGAGTAAAACTCTAAGTATTTTTAAAAACGGTAAAAAGAACGGAAAATTTACTTTAAACTGCGGAAATACAATATTTTGTTACTATACATTTGTTACATTACTTTACCTCTTGATACGTTACTTTACAATTCGTTACTATACACTATTTACACATAAAACACTATTTACACATTTTACATAAATTAAAACTCTACAAAGATTTTCGCAGTAAAACTCCTAGTCAAGTGGGTAAGACTCACCCGGACTCCGTGTAGCACGAGAGTGACGGTCTTTAGCGAGAGCGCAGCTTATATATCCGATCGGTGGGCTGGGCGCACGCGAGTGAGCTTTGGCGATGCGACCCGCGCGGCGAAATCGGGTATTACATCTTTGTGCTCCGCGGTCAGTAACATGTTTATCGACGCGCGATAATATTTAGTACAAATACCCATGTGCGAAAACCAACATGGGCCAATATTGGCCCAGCATTGTCAAATCGGGCACCAACTCTTGGCAGACAATATTGGGCCAACTCTTGTGGTGTTAACTGCGGTTGGACGTCGGCAGCCAAGTATCAGACGTCATTACTGGGCCAATCTTGGCTGCCAATAGTGGCCCAGTATTGTCAAAGTTTCAAAAATTATAATAATTAATTCATTATACATTTATAATTCAAGTCCTGACAGAAAGCACAATTGTTTAAACATTTGAGAATTTGTAACGCTCGCGGGAACCGAACTCGCAACCTAACGCACCGAAGTCTGACACGCTAACCACTACACTATACGCGGATATGGGAATCTCAACACAAAAATGTTTTGATAAGCTGCATTTTAGGAACATTTCAGCCGTTAATGCGCCATTACTGGGCCAAGATTCGTTACAACTTTGGAAAAAATGACTTGTCAAAATAAATTCAACATTTCAGCCGTCAATGAGCCAATAATGACCCAGTAATGAGAGTTCGTCTCAAATATGGAAAAGTAGAATTACCATAAGTATTGGTGCCAATATTGGCCCAGTAGTGTGACGGAGTTCGGCCCAATTATGGAAAATTGAACTGAGACGCAGTGCCAATATTGGCCCAGTAATGGGACAGAGAAGGCCCAATAATGGCAAATTAGAATAATAGAGAAACGGTGCCAATATTGTCCTAATAATGGGACGGAGTTCGACCCAATTATTGCAAATTAGAGTAACTGAGACGCATTGCCAATATTGGCCCAGTAATGGGACAGAGTTCGGCCCAATAATGGCAAATTAGAGTAACCGAGAATTGGTACCAATATTGGGACGAATTGATCGCCAGTACTGGTCCAGTAACGTTTGCCATACTTCGGCAGACATTACTGGGCCAATGTTGGGCCATATCGTCAGTATTGGCATTTCGCACATGGGTATTTACCGGCCGATTTCTAACTATCATTACAACTCAACAAAAAATTCATAATTAATATTGAGGACTGGTTTAGAAAAGATGAAGCTGCCATTTCTCCGTCGAGGGAATCGCGATCGGTAAGTCGAATTTTTTTTTTAGGAACATAGCAACAAAACCTGAAAGACTTAATTTTTCAATTTTACGATCTATTTTAGAAATTAATAACATTTTTTATTTATTTTCATAGTTGTTTCTTAAATTGTTTATCAAACATAATTTCTGTGTTTTGTTTTATGTATTATATAATTATTTTTGGAAATTGAAATTAAAAATAAAACATTTTTTCATAACAAAAAAACAAAATATTATTATTGTTTATCAACATCTTTCACTTTTTATGATATTTTCAAAAAAGTGAAAGTAAAAGTAAAGTAAAAATTGTAGTTTATTAATATAATTAAGAAAAGAAATACTTAAAATTTGTTTAAACAAAAATAAAAACAAAAGTTTCACAACAGAAAAGAAAATTTAAATGCCGAAACAATAAAGTTGAATTGCACTTTCACATGATGAGAAATGAAATTATTGTCCTCAGCTTCAAGAATTTATCGATGATACTTAGTTGAGAATGAACTAAACGCATTTTCATTCATTCGACAAAGGTTGCGACGCTTCAAAAGATTCAATCGTGATGCTCGTTAACGTGAAAGTCAGATTACATCGGAGAGGATTTCTGATGCAATTCTTCCTCTTGAATATATGTACAGGGAAGTTCGATAATTAACAGTTTCTTAAAAACGCTTCATTGTTTGCCAACCTCAATTGTCTTTATTCAACAACAAAGTATAAGGTCCCAATTGTCTCTCCAGATGAGATTGATCACGATGAAAACATTTCGTGCACCTTTTTAGCCCTGTTCATCAGGTTCTGTATGTATGAGAAAATTTTTTTTATGACTCCAATTTCTCATAAAATGTATTTCTCTAATCAATTTTTATCGCAATTTTTTTTAATTATACAGAACTTCAATAAAACCTAATAAAAAAGTAATTAACTCGAATTTAAGATTAAATTAAATAATATTATATTGTCTTTCTTATTTTGTATAATATTTTACAGATGGAAATTTTATTTATAGACACATTAGAGATAAATTTCAATTTAATATAAGTTTATAAAAAGTTAGAAGTTTTTCTATCATAAACTGCGAAATAAATTTAAGAAAAACTTTTTCATTAAAAGAACAAGAAGTAAAGAAATGAAAAACTAAAGAAAAAACTTGAACTTGAAAGTAAATTAAAAAAAAAATCAAAACTAATTAAGAAAAAAATGTAAGTAATGAAATATACGAAATGAAAAATTTAAATCAATGAATACTGATATCTACATAAAAAATTAAAATATCTGAAAAAATAAAAAAATAGAAAGCCAATGTTAAAAAATAAATATTTTAAAATCAAAAGAATTTAATATTATTTAAATTTTTTTAAAATATATATATATTGAATATTTTGAAATTCTCATCGATAAAAATTTAAACAAATAAAAATTGGAATAAAATTTAGATAAGCTGAAAATTTGTAGCCTTAAAATTAGAATACAGTGAAATTTAGATCGTTTAAAATTTTAATAAACTATATTTAAAATTAATTTTATAATTTTTTGATTGAAATAAAATCTGTATCAATAAAAGTTAAGGTTAATAAAAATTAGAAATATATAAATTAAATTTAGAATTTGAATCGTTTCAAATTTCCATCAACAAAAATTAGAATTTATTAAAATATAGATAGTTCAAAATCTTACTTAATTAAATTTGAATTATTTGAAATATTTAACAATAAAAATTTCGAAAAATTAGATTAAAATTTGGATAAATTGCAATTTGGAATGTTTGAATTTGATGTTAATAAAAATCAGAATGAATTTAAATTCATATGATTTAGAGTCATTTTAAATTTATTAATTTATTAACAATTTAAAATAAAAAAAGTAACAAAAACATGTAGTTCAATTACTATTAAAATAAAATTTGGATTTTTGTCAATAAATAATAACAATAGAATAAATTTACATTTATATGATTTAAAATAATTTAAAATTTTTAATTTTTAATTAATGTAGTTCAAATATAATTAAAATAAAATTTTGATTGATAAAAATGTAAGTTTATAAAAATTAAAATTTTGAATTAAATTTAAAATTTTTTGAAATTTTTACCAATACTAATTAGAATTAATTAAAATTTAGAAGGATTTAAAATTTTAAGATTAAATTGTATTTTTAAAAATATATTTACTAATAAAAATTTCCATAATTAAAAATTAGATTCAAATTTAGAAAAAATTTAAATTTACGTCGTTTGAATTTCACGTTAATAAAAATGAGAATGAATTTAAATTTAGACAGTTTAAAATGATTTAAAAATTTATAATTTTTAATTCAGAATATTTCAATATATAGTGAATTAAATTTATAAATTAAAATTCCTATAATTAAAAATTAGATTCAATAAAAATCGTAATGAATTTAAATTTAGATTAAAATTAAAAATTGGATCAATTCAAAGAAGACTTAATTATAGGTACTATTTTTGCCTTACTTAAAATGTATGAATAAAATAGGAATAATAATAATAATTAAAAATTCTTAATCTATGAGGTGGGAGGAAGAAATAATTAAAATCCATTTAGAAAAAACATTTACATATTTATATATATATAAAATATAATACAATTTGTTACAGTGTAGATGATAGTGTGGCGTCTTAGTTGTAAACGTTAGGTGTAAATTAGATCAGTATAAATCTAAGACAAGTTTTTCATCTTCTTTTTTTCTGGAAGGACAGGGCGTTTGGTACATGAATACATAAACGATAGAGCTACAAAGAATCTATTCACTTGATTTAGGTATGTGGACGTACCTTTAGGACTATCGGATGTGTATACATAAAACTATGACTATGTACAGTACTCTTGCTATATACACGCATTCTCCCCCTCTCTCTCTCTCTCTGTCCTCTCTTTTTTTCATTCATTCATACGCACACACACTCATGCGCTCTCTCTCTTTTTTCTCACTTCCTTTTCTTCTTTCTCATTCAACATATGCATTGCGATCCGGCTCACAAACGTTCCACATTAACAGCAATGCGGTAACATTCACTGATCCCTAAAAAACTTCTACATACAATACATACCGTGACGGTTTTTTTTCTGCTCTCGATGCACTTCTCCCAAAACGAGTCTATATTTATATCTATTTTTGCCAATGAGTTTCATCTCTGCCAGGTAATAAATTTTTCCTTAATACCAAAAGTCATCGACGTTTTCAAATACGGCGCAATTTCTCGGAATTCTAACTATTTTTGGCAAAGTGAATATGCAAAACTGACTTTAAATCCATTTGATATGTGGCAGAGAATTTTAAATCTATTCTGGGAAAAATGCGTTTGATCTTTTGATCTTTGTACCGTTTTAGCGAATCAAGCGGCGAGAAAATTTGGTATAAAAAAGTTACATTTTCATCTTAAGTAAAGTAGAGTGAAAAACATTTTTTTGTTAATAATTCTTGAAAATTTAAAAATAAAAACACAAAATAGAAGATATTGGAAAAGCTGAGCTTATCTCTGACTAGCATCATTTTCTTCTTTTTTTCATCATTATTATCATCATCATCACTGGGAATTACATAATGAGGGAACAGTGTATCGAGAACAGGAAATGACATATAAAGAATAAACTAACATTCACGTGATTCAAAATCGTTGAAATACAATAAACATATTTTTTTGTCTATCTACAAAGTAATTTCAATTATTTAAGTGACATGCGATCATGACACTTTTGTTGATTATTCTTTTCTTATCACCGGTAGTTTGCCTAGTACCCACTCTGTCGCTCTCACCTGGCGACTTTTTACATTGATAGAATAAATCTTATCTGTATCACCATCGAATTACTTTAGCGAAAACGAGAAGTTTCAATTTGTCGCTAACTCGGGCTTTAACTTGAACATGAAAAGTCGAAAATTAATTCGATGTAGGTGAAATTACTGACTTTGAATAAACAAATTTGTTAGCCGACCATGGTTAAAAGATTTATAAATCGGTTAAAAGTCCGTTTGGCCTTCGGTAATTGATGAATTACAAATGAATGTAAAATTTGTAAGCTGTATAAAAATTTGAAAATTTATAAAAGCGCCAATAACGTGTTTTTTGTTGCAAAGCAAACTTTATTAGAATATCGAGACGTTGCGTTCAATTTTAGCTTTTGATTTGCATTAAGTTTGCCCTACCCTACTACACACACAGATGTTCTATGACATTTATGAATAATGATCGTATTAAATTGTAAAATATTACTACACGACATATTAATATCGATTAGTCGGCTAGGTGAAACGCTATGCTCTAGAAGGGAACCTTTTATCGTCTCTCGGATATTCAATTCCACTTTCTCATGGGCTCAGTCTAACATCAAAAATGTAATTTGTCTCGAAAGCTCTTTCACGGCAAAACTCTTCTAAAAGGAGAAGATTTACATGATTCAGACCTTAAATTTTAATCGAATAAAATTAAATTCTAATTCTTTTGACAAGGTTTCTTGAGTTGATTTTTGAAATTATTGATCCCGACGCAGGCTCGAGAGACAGAAGTAAAAGCAACTTCCAAAACTTATATAGAATGTTTATCTCGTGCACAAAGCAATATCAACATTGAAAATAATCTCTCTTTTAAATAATAATAAATAATTACTCTCCCCGTTTGAAACAACGAAGAGATATCGCTATGTATAAAAACTGTACAGAATAATACAAGTCATAACGAGCGATAATCTAAATACTCAGGGTACGACTTATAAATTAAATCAGTACTTCGTCGACTATTCAACGTGAGGTTCGCGAGGAAGCATTTTTCCCTCTCCCCGGTAAGTAGACCACGCTCTTATAACTTTCACAAAAAAGTTCTAATTAACAAAATATACAATTTCCGTAGTGAAAGTCGTGCAAATTCTCAAAGAATCCCCCTTGACTAAAGCAGAAAATAATTCATTCACATTTAGAAAAAGATTTGCACGACTTCCATTCGGCAAATAAACAGCCTATGTGTATCTTGGCCTCTTCTAAAGAGGATCCAAGATCTACGCCTCCCCCTTATTATGTCCTTTCGTTAATAATCTTTCAGATATTCAATTTCAAACTTCCAATTACGAAAAAGAGAACTCTGAAATATTCTAAATACCCGTTAGACACATTACCATCGACTTGTGGTACTCACATAAGCGTCTCCGTTAAAAGTCTTTATCAGACAGAATTCTTCTTTCAACTTTAAAAAAACTCACTGACACACACACACATGTTTCATTGTCCTTCACCTGAAGGCAAAAACCATTGCCGCCACCAGTAACGCGATAGACACTGATTTTACCCCGGAACTTCCGGCCATTGGACCTTCACTACTGCGGGACACTTTATTACGAACTAATTGTCCACGTTCAACCGCATTCGATTCATCGCCCTCAGAATCGCTTGGCGTCCCAATATCTCCATCTCCACTAAACATCATGGAAAATCTATTTCTAACTGGCTTTTTCGAACAGGGCAATGTACTTTCTTCATAGGTCTTCAAAATCCGAGGATAATGAGACTCCACCTTCATTCCTGGCAGGGCAACCCCTTTACTGTTGGAACAAAGAGGCTTGAACGTTCCCCTTTTAGTGGCATCTTGGAAGCTCTTAAAGCTCTTCTGCCAATCGTAGCTCAATAAGCGTTCCTCCAGGGTCATTCCAGTCAACTCAGGGGGCTCTTGAATCTTCACCGGACCCGAACCACTGTAACAAGAAGATGAATTCACCGTAAGTTATTATGAAAGGAGAATAATTAAATTTGTAATTACTTTAATTTTCATTAAATTAGTTTCTATTCTTTACTATTTTTGTAATAGAATAGTTTTGAAATAGAATATATCTAAAAATTATTATTCCGATATCTCTTTGCAATTTATATATTTCTTGAAACTGATATCTTTCTAAAAATATCTTAAATCCTTAAGGCGCCAGGAAGATATTTAAAAACCTATTAATTCGGCATTCATTCAAATAATATTGGATAATATATATTGCAAAATTCCAACTTTTTACAATTCATTTTCAATCAAAATTATAAATCAATATATGTGAATGAATGAATATATAAAATCTTTATATATTATAATTATAATAATAATAAACTACTCTAAAATTGTTAAAATTTTTACTAATTAAAAATTTAATTATATACTTTAATTTATGTAACATTTTTCGACGTAACATTATAGAATAATAAAGAAATAAATTTACTACTTAATCGTAAAGAAATAAATCCTTTTTATAGAAAAAAAACATGAACTATATGAAGATCAAAGATATGGAGTATGATGCGAGATATATTTTCGCGCATGTGCAGAAACCGAATATTATCTCATAATGGCGGAATAAAGTATAAATGCTTAAGATACGTTTTCACATTGTTTTTTTCCCAAGTATTTTTTAGTCAGGTCATTTTTTGTCTTGTCATAGAATTCATAAGAGGTAAAATAATTAAAACCTTTACAAGTAAACACGGAATATTCAATATCAACGGACAATGTAAAAAATATTTATTTTCTTTTGATAATTTCACCGCCATTTTCACGTTCAGTGTCGTTTTTCTAGGGCGATAATTAAAGGTTTCTCCTTGACAAAGAATTTCAGAGAACGTTCAATATTCTTAATTTTGAAAATATTTTATTTCATCAAAATTATACTGCAATTAAACAATGAAAAATTAAGTAATTTCAAAAAATAAGAAAAATAAATTGCAAAAAAATTTTTAATTTCCAAAATAAAAAACATTTATTTGTTACTAAAATTAAATGTTCGTTATTCAGGATATCACGCCCGTTCGTAAGATATCCACGTGGTATCTTTTTGTTGTGTGGATTCATATAGGCAGTGAAATGTGCACATCGCGCGTCGAGTGGAGTTATAAATCTTCACATGACCCACAATACTCTCTTGCAACACTCACAGTGACAAATGGTACTAACAGCCAATTGAAAATAATAGAGACTGAGTTGAGCTAATTTGTTCTTCAGAATAGCAATAGTGCCTGATATTTTGCACTCTGATTAATAGGCCAAAGACTTAACAACTGAATTTCAATAATTTCTCCAAATTTTTTTATGTCTTCAATTTTTATCTCCTCTTACAATATTAGTGTTATTTCTCCAATTTAGATTAATTGATAAAAATTTTTTCATTAACAAAATTTAAAGAACCACATATTAAAAATGGAAAATATATAAAACAGATGAATCGAAAAGCTAATCAAATATCAATAAATGCCGATTAAATAGACATACCATCTGATTAAACATTAACTAATTAATTTTAAACTGATGAAATACAAACAATTTAAGTGCAAATTAAATATACGTAATAAAACTTGAGAGCAATTAAATAAAAGCTGAATTATTTACTCATTAATTGAAATTTGTACATTAAGTTGTGAATTAACAGAAAAAATTACTTATTGAATAAAACATGAATACTTACTCTATCAGCTTTTGAATTCCTAGACTGTGAAGAACGGTTGGTAGAGATGGCAACGAGTAGCAAAGAGACAAGTCGATGCGTGGATAGTAGAGCGCAGAGACGAGACAGGTCTCTTCTCTTGTTGTCAATCCACCTAAAGTGATTACACCTCTCGATTCGGACGAGTATGTACATTCCGCTATCAAATGGTCGCCCTGTAATCAGAAAGAAAAAAATTCTTCTTTTAAAAAAACAAGTTGAAATTTGATTAGCAGAAAGAGATAATAACGTGTATCTGATGGGTCACGCGACGTCCAAGTACTGGTCAAGTTCAGGGAATGTTCTCAGTTTCTTTCAACGTGCGCATGATAAGAAAACACAACAACCAAGACCCAATGTTTCAACAAGAGAAGAAACTAAATATTTTTAAATTTAATTTAACAGTTGCAAATTAACAGTAAAATTTTAGACATAAGCTTTTAAAATAATTTTAAAACAAGTTTTTTTACTAAGAATATAAAGTTCCTACCGGATAAACTTTGGCAGGACGTTGAAGTCTTCGGTATTCCTGATACTTGGGATCGTAGTTGCCATCAGCAGCGATTGGTGTCATCTCTTCGCCTCCTCGGATCTGCCTGAGCTTGACCTTTTTGCCAAGTTCGTGCGTGTGCATGATGACCGCAAACATATTGATTCCATTATTAGGGATGGTTTGTCCCGTGCATTCAGTAATACAATGTCCCTCGGAAACGACTTCCGATTGGCCTGGTGGTATGATGTGACGCCAATTAGGATCGATACCTATACTGAGTACACCGGCATCGTGGGTTCTCAGTTTCTCCGAGTGCAGAAAACGTAGTCCCGAGTTGTCGTTAATGAAGGCATCCCGCCTTGGATTGACATAGAGAGTCTCCAACATGTAGAAACGAGGTCCAGTATGCGGGTCCAGAGCGTATCCTGCCTCAGGTGGGTAATTAAAGCCCTGCGCAAAAGTTAAGAGAGACGTATAGAGCAAACTGTTGAGAAAGGAACGAGAGCAAAAACAGAGGCGATATATCGGGAGTAGAAACTGTATAGGAGAAATCGTGAGAGAACGCGTGTGGAATTGCACCTTCACAGGGAGCTCACGTTTCCACCGACCACAGGGAACTGGTTTGTGGTCGTTTTGCCATTGGTATGCATTACCTTGCTCGCGGGATTATCGCAAACGGCGGCGTTAGTGCCGTCTTTTAGGTTAAAAGAGAGAGAACTCATCACACAGTCATCGAGCAAAGAAGCAAATGGGAATAAGACTTCTTGACGTGCGATATCTGTGGATACTAATGGCACAGGTGAGGATAGCTGACGCGATGGAACGAGAGTAATTCACGTCGCGAATTCTAGACCCAAGATTGCCCATTCGCAAATAGCGAATCACGTTATAAATTACTTTCCTCTTCTTCCATCAGCTTTTGCAACAAGTAATCTACATTCCTTTAATAAATTATCAAGCAGGAGGATTCTAAGTTTCTATATTTAGAAACGGAAATAGGATTATTCGCATAGGGGAAAAAGAATTGAAAAGAATAATTAATGTGAATGTACCTCAGAACCGAGACTCCAAGTAGCTGCTATAGTACTGCACTTGGGAGTGGGTTGATCAGGTTGGTAGCAGACTCCTCCGGTGGTCCTTGCAGCAGCCTCCAATTCAGTCTGATTGCCTCGACACTCGTACAACGTCATGTGGTGCAGGTACTCTTGGTTGCCGGGCTGAATGACGGGCTCGTACTGCAAATTGTAAAAATGGTTCGTTTGTACATTTTTCGGAATTATATATTTCTAACAAATTTTATATTTGAAAACGAATAAATAAATCGCGAGTTTCATTGTTTTTCTATCTCCTATAATTAGCACTCCCTTTTCCCATTAAATTGAGTCAGGAGAATGGGGTTAGAGAAACGTTTCAAGATCGAGAATTTGAATCACGTACGATCGTATTCAACCACGTACTAGTTGCGACTATGAGATCTATATTGGCAAATTTATAGAACCGGAAATCCAACGCTTCGCACCTCTGGTGCAGAGGGATTAATACTCTTGCTTCACTTTAATCTTAATTACTTCTGGAAAAGATTAACTTTTGACGATAATCATTGTCGAATACTAAACTCGCAAAGCTCTTCAATTAAAAGATTACGAGAGAGAAAATATATCTGTTAAACAAATATATTTCTAGGTAAATTGATTGATTACAAAAAAAAATTCCCTAATAGTTTTATCTCATATCTTTAAAGAAGTTGGATTTCCGAAACTGATGGATCCCATCTATTTGTAAGCAGTGGAGACGCCGTCGTCTTGCCTTTATTAATCATGACGCTCACTCAGTTATTTAACGCGAAGGAAGAAATCCTTTTGAATGAATAGTCGATAAAGTCAACTCCATAAACTGAACTGGACAAATGCAATCATCAAAAGTGCATCTCGAATCAAAAGCTGTAAATTGCTTCCGTTCATTGACGGCTTCATGTATGATTTAACCAAGTTTCGAGTCCAGTTTTCATCGAGGAACAAGTTTTCCTATACTATAATTTCAGCGAGTGCAGCATTTACTAACGAACTGGGTCGACGATGCATTTAACTGATAAAAGTAGTACATCAAGGAAGACTTACTCTTACTACATGATGTTTATGGTGAATGTTCGGCATCTTGAGAACTCGACACCAAAGTAGAGTATCTTGCTCCGTTGGTAAGCGAACCTGCAAAAAAAAAAAATTTACTTACATTTCTGACTTTGTATAAACTCAAAAGGCAGTGATAAAAAAAAGAGTAAAAGATACACTTGACATTATATTTCTCCAAGAAATTTCAATTTGGAATTTTAATAATAGAAATCTATTATTAAATAGAGTTCTATTCTATCGATGGGTCACTATTTTATATGAAAGTCAATTATGGCGTTATCTCATTAGCATTGATTGCGAAATAAATATAAATTGCGTCATTAAAAAGATCAGGCGTCTCGACTTGATGCATAAACATGATGCGTTATTTAAAGCTCGAACGGATGGACTTTTGCTCGTCAAGTTTTTTAGTGGCTGCAGCCGCAGACGAGAAGCAACACAGAACGCGAGAAAAACGAATATCGAGGCGCCGATTCAATTATCGTCCTCTCCTGCCTTTTGCGGAGAACCAACACTGAGAAAAGGAAAAAGTACCGCTGGATATATAGAACTTATTGTAAGAACAACTTAGGCGAAGGGATAGGAAATTTCTGCTCATCCAAAACAAAACTTCATTTCGTTTCGCTCTTCATGGTTGATATTGTTCGGTTGTCGTTGAAAAATTTACTTTACTACCGAAAAATTGCTGCATAATTTTTAAAATTGATTAAAAATATTATTGAATTGAATTTATATTTTTAATTTATGTAAGAATGTATATAAAGAAAAGGCGAATAAGAAAAATTTTAAGTACGAAGGACGTCTGAGAATGAAGTCCGAGAATTTTCTTTCCTGTTCCAGATTCCTTTTTCGGTTTCTTTTCATTGGAACTAGGTAGCTCGCGGGCTTTGCAATTTTCCCACGTATTTCTGAAAAATTAACGATTTTGAGATTACCCAGCCGGGCCATTTCCCATTTTATGCAGACGCGCCTGAGGATATGACTGCAACTGACCAAGCGCAAAGTCAATCGATCCAAGAGAGCAAACATCGTTATAGATAGTTAAATGCGTATTGATTGTAATTTTATCGTTATTTCTTATTTCTTTACAACGCCTCATAATATAAATTCCCATGATTCAAGAGGAATTCGAGGAATTAAAAACGCGCAAAAAAATATCACTAAAGCACCCGCTATTGTATTATACGTAATTTGATAGGTTATTATGAAACCCCTCCAAGGGAGGTGGAAATTGTGTTCGTTTAAGATACTTTGTAGATGGCGCAAGTAACAAAAGTGTGATTGACAATTGACAACCATTTTAGTTAAAATTTAATTTAATTAAATTGCTTATTGTTAGGAGTTTCATTGACAAAGTAAATATATTTTCATAATTTTGTTGTACAGTGTATATTTATTATTTTATTTTATTTAATTCAACAACCCCAAGAAAGTCGGTTTCCAGGTGATAACAAAATTTGTGGACGTGCTCAGATATTAATTCCTTAATTTCCCGTACATCGCGCTCTCATCGCATGATTGATAAAAATATGAGATATGTAGAACAAATTTAACAGCGTATAATTGATGTTGGGTTTCTATAATAGTAATATATTGACTTATAAAATGAGAAATAAAACCTTCTACTAAATTATTCTCTGTAATAAGTCGAAACGAAAATTAATCTTGTGTTCACCGAAATTAATGTTTCGCCTAGTTTGATTTTCAGAAATTTTCAATTCAAGACTTTTCAATTAAATCGTCTTATTTCAATTTCCTTCGCGTAAGGCTAATTACAAGTAAGTTTGAGCCTGGCACTGTGAAGCGGCTGCACTGCCGTGGCCTAATTCAACCCTTATATATATATATATATATATCGGAGAGCACATAAAACGGACTTGAACAACGGAATTAGCATTGTCCGATTTCACGATAGCTCCCCTATAATCTATGACCTAGCGACGCTAATGAACGAATAGTTTTTGCCGGATGTGACCCCGACTGGATTTATATCGTCATAAATTTGGTGCACAATGCAGAGAGTTTCTTCCGATAAAAATCCACTACCCACTCGGGCGCAAATGCGTTCGAACATTCGTCTCACTTGCATAGTGCAATCAGCTGTTTTCGTTGCACGCGTCTTTTACACCTAACAAAAGGTACCAAACACCAAAGAAATGAATATAAAAAGTCGTCAAAAAAATTTCCCTTTAAATTGACTACGATTTAATTTTTCTATATCTTCATCTCGCAATAACTTCAACTTTGAAATCGCTCTTGGCATTGTAATAAGTTTTTAAAAACAAAATTTTTATTAAAAGGAATTGTGACGAATGTAAGTGAATAGTATATAGTAACTTATTTAGAAATGTGATTTATAATTGATCATTCATGTTGATAAAAAAGAATTCTTTGTATTATTTAAATATTCTTTGAATATTTAAGTCTATTCTTTTGAAATACCGATGAAATCTATTCTTCCCACATGACTCTGATTTCTCTCTCTTGATGAATCAATGTTTATTTTTTTCTGTAACACGTTCCCACTTGAGCTCATCACAATAGAATTATGCAGTTCTTTTCTCTTTATATACGTAACATATTAACTGCATATCTGCGCGTGACACGAAAAGAATGCAATATTAATAACAAGGTACTGATAGTGCTAATTGGCAAAACTCTGTGCTCCAATTAAAGATTATCTAATTAAGTTTGTTTAAAGTTGAGCGCGCATTTCTCAAACAATAATAATAATAATTTTTTTTAAGTATTAAAATTCGCAACACTTGTCTCTCCATCCACTTATACCGCCATAAACGTCTTTATTACTCTGGGAAATTGCCAAGCTAATCAAGAAATTTTAACATATAAAAACTGCTAAGCGAAGCTTCTTTACCCCCCTTGAAGATAAGAAAAGTTCTTTTACAGTTTTCTCTTATCTCTAAGCTTAATTTTTTCATTTATTTATTCTGAATTTTATTCTCTTTGTTTTATGTCGAGTGCGTCTTTTATTCTCTTATAGATATAATTCCTAAGTCAATTAAAATTGAATGGAATTTTGAGGAAATTTCGAGGGTCACTCACCTGATGATTCAAGACATCCCACACCTGAAGTGCTGGATCATTCTCATAGTTCCGAGAAGTGCGTTTGGGTTGAGCGTCCCTCTGTACCAAGTAAAGAGGTCGCGACCCTCGAACGGCTCCATGAGCGGGAAGAACACCAGCTGCGGATACTGGCTCGTCCGCATTGTACTGCCAAACGACTTGCATTGTGTCATTCTGCAAATAAAAAGGAAAAGAAATATTAAAAAACAGACAGGAATATTAAGCATAAAAAAGAATATTACTCTTTGCAATGGATGGACCAAAAAAAGATACTAAAAAAAGATTCAAAAAAAAATGAAGTGAAATTTAAAAGAACAGAAGAGATGCTAATTTTAAAATAAGAAAAACATATTTCAATAAAAAAGAAATATATCTTTCAATAAAGAAAGATATATAACTTCCAATAAAGAGAAAGAAATATATCTTCTTATAATAAAAAAAATTCAATAAATATCTGCGTAAATTTTTTTGAAACAATTGTAAATTTGCGTTAAGATGAAATATATCTTTCAATAAAAAAAACACATGTAAATTGAAGGTAAGAAAAAATATATCTTCCAATAAGGAACAAATGTAAATTTCAAGAAAGAAGAAATGAGTAATTGTCTTTCATGTTCTGGGAAAAGTTTTAAATTTCCTCTCCTTTTTCTTTTGTACCAGACCTCCTCTCGTTTTTTCGAGATGTGGACTCTTTACAAATTACAGTAATAAAGCTACGTTGACTTCATGATTCATCCAAGATTAAGCTTAACTTCCTCCATCTCAGTCTTTGAGCAACTTGAAAAGAGGTCCAGTTAAATAGCAAGAGAAAGAAAGAAAGTCGTTAAGAAAACCCACCACTAACACTTGGCAAAAAAAAGGATGAGATAGAAAAGAAAGTGGAAGTTTTTTCTTATGAGTAGTACTAAAACCCTTCTCCAATATCTTTCTTTTCACAATTAAACTCTCTCAATCATTTTTCCTCTTCATTATTAATTTGAAAATAATAAATTAAAACCAAACCGAAATTAAATTGTGAATAAAAAGTATTTAAAAATGCTTTTTATTCACCAAAAATAGTTCTAAAAATTTTAATTATCAAAAGTTTGCTCCAAGTGAATGACTATTTCCACTAAATTTATGAAAACAAATTTATTCTGTAAGAAATAATTTAAATATCTAATAATGCTAAAAAAACGAAAGCTATTTTTATAATAATGAAATCGAGGAACATAAGTATGTTACAGAAATCGACATAAGGGAGTGAGCTGATTAAATTATTAACATTTATAAAATGAAACATATCGTCGATTCTTCAACATAAAAAACTTGGACTCAAATTTATTAAATAATTAAATTAAATTATAATTAAAAACTATTGAAATAATTAACTATTTAATGAAAAATTATACAGAATTTTTTAATATCTGAGAATATATATGCCAACTATTAGACGTTGAATCGAATTACATGCTAATCAAAGTTCCTCCAAATAATCCCTCGACTTAGTTCAGAAATCGATATTCTCGTTCATGATTCAAGAAGAACGTGCTTTTGATCTTATTTCGATAAAGTTAGCTTTCTGCCTTTAGAATCGATCCAAGTTAAAAGATGCATGATTTATTATGACTATACATCGAATTGAAACTTGATGGATATATCACTGTCAAAATTCAGATTTAAGAATAAATGTGGCTTTAACTCCCAACAGATGTGAATTTATTTTTAGAAGTTGAATTTAATGACAAAACAAAAAATAAAATGATAGAAAATGGAATTTTCTATATCGAATCAAATATAAAAAATCTTACCGGCAGGTGAGAGTATTTACGCGCTACCTCTTTGTATATATAATATATATATTATAAAAAGATTTCGCCGCCGCCGCTGTTTTAGATGGGTCATTCTATGTCAAGCGTAAGTATTGTAATTAATTAATTAAAATACAATTAATCCCATTAATTTCAGGAGGAATGAATATATGGGGAGCGGGAGAAGTTAAGAAGTAATAATTAGAGTTCCCGATGTGCCAAAAGTCGGACTCAATGAAAGCATTATTTATTATGTTACATTTTTACGGAGCTGTTTCGAATCTGTCATCTCCCTCCACCTTCTCTTTAATTATTGCAATTGTGGATAATTTGAAAGGAAATGGGTTCCATTCCCAAGGAAAAATTCTTTAATTATTTGAAAACTAAAATGTTTCCTAATTTTTAATCAACAATGTTCGAAATAAACTCGAGGTGAAATCGATATTCTTTCATTTTGTCAAGAATAGATTTGAATTTTCGTCCCTCGATATAAAAAGCGAGATAGAGAGAACAAGAGAAGGCTTAAAATAAAAGTACGCAGTTCTTTGATTTCATTCCTAATGCCCTTGGCACACGGAGTTTGAGACTGTAATTGATTAAAAAGTGGAAGGGAAATTAGACGGAATTCAAAGCTCGACAAATACGATTTGGAATCTTACGAAGACTAGGTTACAGTGTACGTGGGATTAAATTGCCGTAAGTTACAATCGATTCGAGTCAAACTAGCAGACTGCTCACGCGCACTCTTTCACGTTTTCTCGATAATTATTTCACGTAAGATCATACCTTCCTTCCGGTTCTCCTTTTTCCCTGACGTTTATTTCAGTCCTTTGGGGACAATTAGACATTGCCGTTTACTTGAAATGTGAAAATTCTTTCTTTGAAATTTGACAATTTATTTTAATTCCATAGAAAAGGGAATATGAAATAGACATTTAAATCTTACCAAAGGGACAGAAAATTATAACTAGAAGTCAGGAAATGGTAATTTAAAAGTCTTGTAAATTATTAACTTTAACATATGTCAAAATACAACGGTCTCGCTGGCATTGTAGATGACATCTTGAGTAATTAAACTATGTAGCAATTCATATCTATCAAGCCCCTTTTTTCTTGAGAGATGTGAAAAAAGCCAGGGGTAAGAAAACTTCGATCTGTGTAAACTGTATCTACACTTGAATCAACGTTAATTGCCTCGAGATGAGAAAACAGCCAGTTATCGAAACTGAATACGTGTCTGCATCTTAATAGGCAAAACTAATATTGAACGTTCCACCTAAGTAGAATTACAGAAATTGCAATTGAGCTCGGGATTTAAAAAGCAATTCTCTATTTAACTAAAAAGTATTTACAAATTTGAAACAGAATCAGACTAAAGCTGGCTTTAAGATGTGAGATACTGCAAATACACTGAATCTGTAAATTTATTTTCTATTTTGCACTTTCTTATATATTTTCTAAGTTTCTTTTTGCTGTTCTCCTTTTCCTAAACGACCACTCGATTCAACAGTAAATCTTGTCTTTCTCTCTCTCTCTTTTTCTTTTCTCCATGCGTTGTTCCGAGAGCTCACGAAAGCTCGGAAATGTACCTACACTTTGGTCGGAATACGATACGAGGTCTGTTCGTGAGAGCAGCCATCTGTAACCCGGTCCCATTGAAACAGTCCATCCTCACTCATGGGTTTTCTTGAGTAAAGTAGACCGTAATTAGAATTTCTTCCGGGTTGTTATTCTCGACACTAATTAATTAAACATGTTACTCCGGATCATAAAAAGTGTTGAATACTTCCAGCGAGCACGAGATCTATTTTTTATAATCAACTTCAAGTTTTAAACTCCTATAATTGAATTAATTTTTTCCATTATGAAAGATGAAAAAAGTTACTACATCTGGATTCAGTGATTGATAATTCATCTAGCAATTTTTGAGTTTCGCCAAAAATCTAAATTTGTAATTTAGTATAGTTCCATCTATTAATGGAATTTTTGAGCACATGACGGGAAAATAGTCTCCCGAAACGGGAGAGACATGAAAATGCCCCGTTTTGGAGAATAGGAACTTATATATCAATTAAAGTGTTTAAAAAAACACAATCTCCTTATTCAAATATTTAATGACGCCCATCAGATTAGTAGATCCAGGCACGTCCTAGAAGGCCATTTACTTTTTTCTACAACGAATTTCAAATAGAACATTTAAATAGATGGTTATCGAAAACTGGCCTCAATAAGCTTATATACCACTGTCGATTGAATCGTCCGATAGAAAAACCAATTTAAATTCAGAGTGATTCGATTTCTAAAACTCGTCTCGGTCAGTAACCGCATTAAATTTTTGTTTAGCAAGTTGCATATTGTTAAAGCTCGTTATATACTCTCCCAGTCTAAAGGGAAAAAAAGTTGTTTGAAAAGTCTCAATTGGCTTGTGAAACTCGTTCGAGGCCAATTGGCGGACAAGTTTTACAAGGGATAAACGAACCGGACATTAACAAATAGCCTTAAGAAAATTTTATTCTTCTGAACGCGATTTTCATCATATACGTTCCTATCATAAACAAGATTTTACTCAACGAGAGCAAAACAACTTGACTGCTCCGGAAAGAATAACAAAAACTTGTAGTACGATCGATCTTTCGAATTCGAACTTGTGCAACGACATGTAACATATTACGATCAGGTTTAATGCCCTCCACACGAGTAGTTGTACTGCGTGGATATTCACCACGGAGAGCGAGCACCTGTATAATTAACAGAGTTGAGTGTTCTTTCAAGTCCGCTGCTGTTATTCTTGGTCCAATCACTCGGAATGTATCGACAAGAGCCTTTCTCACAAGTTTTAAATTATTCTTCAACCCCTTTTCCCTATTTTGTATATTTTAATTCTCCGTGATCGATCTGTTTCGCCAACCGCTTCAAGACACGTGGCTTTAAACGTGTAAGAATGAAAATAAAAGCTTCTGCGATTTGTACACGTACGTGTCATAAATATCTCCATTATTATGTAAAGACGTTCTCTTATAGATTGTATTATGCGTGTAATCACTCAACTCTGACACTATTTGTAACTTTGCTATAGAATACTATATAAATGGTATACATATGATACTACTAAACTACTTTATAATATGCTATATTTGCTGTATTTATAATTACATACTTTAACGCGCCACGTATAGCAAAAGAAATATCAAATCCACTTAATTCAATCCACGATCTTTTATATCATTGTTTTATTTATTCTAATTTACTTTTTTAACTTATTCTATAAGTGATACACACGTTATATTTGTAGCAGTTAAATATGGCATACAATACTATAATATGAAGGTATTTCAAACAATTAAAGCAATCAATTAGAATTACAAAGACTATTTTAAAGGCAAT